GTTAAAAACTGCTTCCTTGTTTGAAAAGCAATTTAGCATATAGTATCTCTGTTGATAGCTCTACAAAGTTACTAAAGTAGATTATCGAAAAATGGCTTCCTTTGGCAGCCATCTTGGATTTAGTAAAAGAGAAAAAGTTATATAACTCATGAACTATTTGTCCTTGCATTAAGTTTATCATATTCCTGTGAAATCAAATCCATATGTTGTGTAGTTTGTCTGCTATCTTTCATTCTAGACATGAAACATTCGTCAAATAATCACATCGAGCAAGTGCAATTTGCCATGAGCCACGCAGGCTCGAAACCCGTCATTGCTGCTATGCAGCTATATTTGGAATTATTTTCATACACAAACTAACTCATCTGGGATAAAGCGGTTACGAATTTGCTGTCAACTATCTGTGAGCATATGTAATAATATCAGAACGCCAAGACCTCGCCCTGTGGTCTGTGATGCGCAACAATTATGTTCACTTCGGTATATATTGTGTATAGGTACCGGCCAAGTAATTGGCATCGCTAGCATCCATCCAGTTACCGTGTTGAAGCTGGGAAATTGTTGCAATAATGAAAAACAAGCCATGGCTTTACTGACCACAATTCCCCTCTGCTAACTTGTAAAGCAACTGGCTTAGAAGTGACAATGTGATGGTGGGATGGTGGAGTTTGTTTAAGCAGTGAAGTCTTAAAATAGAAGTGGTTCTGGAGTGGCCAGTGAAAATTAGAGAATTAATGGTAGATGGGGAAATTATTTTGACTTTGCCCTTTCAATACCCTTGTGTCCCGCGCTGTTTCCTACACTAATATAATTTCTTACACGCAATGTTTTAGAGAATGTGATTATACATATTGCACGGGAAATGATATGCACATGGATCAGTCTATAGCTTTGTGGATAGATGGTCTCTCGGGCATACATTTAATGATTATGAAGGTTTCGCTACTTGTGACTTTGACACCCGCAAAATGACACCAGAAATAATACTATACGTGTCTTAAATGAAGTATGCCGTGGGCAGACGCGGTAATCTAGTGATCACTAGTTAATTTCCAGGCAGCCTGTATTTGCATGCAATATGCCAATGGCACTCGCGTACTACAATAGAGTATGCCGTTGTTAAACTTGAACAATAATTCCATGCACGTTATTTATTTATTTATTTATTTATTTATTTATTTATTTATTTATTTATTTATTTATTTATTTATTTATTTATTTATTTACAAATGTCTGACGTGTTAACGATCGAGGATATTCCTAAGTAAACATCCCCTAGACCACACAGGAAGGTGCCGATATGATCGTGCCAAGCACGCATGATAACATGATTTCATTCAAACTCATTAGTTTACAGTTTATCCAGTCAAACGTCATATCACGTGATACACTACAGATAATCGTTGCGGTGGTACGGGCTTCAGTCTACAAATGACGTGATTGGGCAGAGTAGGGTGTGACACTCTCGCGAGCAACAACATACATTCAGGCAATGGTGAGTATTGGAATTATTATTGGCGACAATATAATTCGAATTGCACGTCAGTCGACTCGAATATGCGCGGACATGCGCAGTAGCGACCGTGTGTGTGTGAGATTTTTGAGAGTTGAACTTGATGAATATATTACACCATTCTGTATATTTTTGTTCAAGTTACCAGCAAAGTAATTACAATGTCGTAGTTTTTGTTACGTCGGCATATGTGACTACATCGGATGACACCCTATGTCAACGCTGGTATAACGGAACAAGCCGATATTTAATTCACACTGGATATATGTGCTTTCTGATAGATAGGTGTGCTGAATGTTAATTAATTAATATTGCATGTAGACACAAGCAAAAAAAACGTGTCGAAATGCCGACGTTACGACGACTCATTGGCTAAAGTTCCTATGTCAGTGTGTTGTTAACGACGTGTTTTACAGTATACTTGGGGGTAAAGTCCAAACTTGTCTGCATCTCCCATGTAAACATTGACATGTATGATTACCTTGGCTGCAATTAAATGGTGCAACACTACAATTTACAATTTACAGTACTTGCAACCAATGCGTGAGCCATGCGTGTGAAATTGTTTAACCATTCTCTGTGTCATTGTCAGTTTTTGCCCAAAACAACGGTTGATGTAGGTCGGTACCAGGCGACGGGCGTAAGCTAGCCAAAGCATGTAACTACATGTTATGATACAGACTATTTACTGTTTCGTCAAAAAAATAATGACCATTAAACAGCAAATTAGTACCTCGATTCCAAAATATACTCACTGCAAATAAACTTTTATGTGTTTCATTTCAGAACAACTCCACGTCTTTCAGTTCCAGTGTCAAGCAAAAAGTAACTCCGGACCCCCCGAGGGGTTATGATGATTTATTACGTATGTATACAATAATTCTACAGTCCCTTGTGGCGGTTCATATTGACAGATCGTGACGAGTAAATTATTAATATGCTGTTACAAATGTAATCCATAAAATGTGTAACGGGGTTTGTCGTGCATGTCAATGACTACAATTCTACAATATTAATAGTTGGAAAATATATTTACACTAGTCATGTCGATTGTCGTACGCAATCTCATTCAACTGACTTTTGCAACTGATACACGAGCTGAAATTACATTATCGAATGAACGATATCTACGTATATTTTGTAATGATAACGCACGAACTTTGCTTGTCTTAAACTTTATTCCATTTTGCCAGTTAATCGGTGAGTATCGACCAATGTGCCCGATCCATAAAAGGCAAAGTAATTAGCAATAACGTGCTCGCCTTGCCCTTTATGTGTTTTGGCGGCTTTACTAAAGATATTGTCAAAGTTACATCCAAAAATGTAACGTAATTACAACGATATTTGTTATCGAGATTTATTGTCACTTACTAGATCCAGAAATAGCCAACGTAATTTGGCAACTGTAAAAAAGAAAGTACTGGCGCTTTGCATTCACAATACTTATTTAAATCTCATTGACAACGCATGCAAACCACAACGTCAAGGGGACAATGTTTATTTTTAAAGGATAACCACCGTATTCAAAATTTCACACACAAATGAGTGGAATATACAATGTCGATGAGTGCCCACTTAATATATAATTAAACATTTGAAGACACGCCTTTGATGAATATCTGTTCATTTATTTACGTAAACATCGCAAATGTTGTCAAACGCTTTGCTCCTCGACACGGGTGTGTACAGTAGTGATCACGTGACTGCATATGACTGTAAGCTGTTGTGCTTTTATGCTTTACGCCGCAGTTATCTCTGTTAAAATGTAATCCTGTGTCGTCTGTCCTAATTCAACAGGTGAGGAATGCGTATTGATCCGACCACCCACAACTCCAAGACCGTCACCTCCACCGGATGTAGTCGAACAAAAACACGTAGTGGGGTAGGTAAATTAATGAATCGAACCTAACGTTAGTAGTACTTACCAGCAATTCAGGGCGCATGCGCATTTTCATAGTTCATTATTGCATTGGACGAATATAGCAACGAAATTCTTAGGTTAAGATGAATCACTACATAATGAACTTGACCAGAGAGTTAAGCCACCCTGACACTTGCACGATTCTGTGGCACGGATTGGCACGACTCGAGTCGTAAACTGACGTGAAGTGTGCGTAAACCCGTCGTGACTGAGTGCCATGTCGGGACGAGAATTTTGAAATGTTTAAAACGTTGGTCACGAAAAAAATTCGCAAATCCATGCCACGACTGTCACAAACTTCCACGAATAGCTCACGAACAGCTCACGTCCGAACTGCGCAAACTCATCGTGCCAATGCGGGAAGTGCGTAAACTATGCGCAAACCATGCGTGAACTCGTCGTGCCAGTTCGTGTCAATGTGGACACTAATAGGCACGCATTCGTGAACTATTCGTTAACTTGTCGTAAACTCGTAGTGAACAGTGCGGGAGCCTTCCAGTTCGTGCCGACTTGCAACGACAAAATCGTGGTCTAAATTGTGCAAGTGTCAGGGTGGCTTTACAGTCATTCTTATCATGGTTTATTGCACCAGCTCTATATAGTCAGTTATATACGTCATAGTCCTACTGATTAGCACAGAAAAAGTGAAATATGACATGGCAGTGAAGGAGGGACGGCAAAAAACTGCCAATGAAATGGAACGCAGGAAATACGATATAGAAAAAAACTATCAGTGTGGGAGCTAGAATGAGAAGTGGGTCATATGTCACGACACAGATTAGAATTTGAAAAAAGGTAAAAGGTCACAACAGGTATCTGATTAAGAATTTAGAAAAAGAGGTCACATGTCACAAAAGTAGAATGAAGGAATTTTATTTAATGATGCAATTGATTTTTTTTTCAATCAGTGATGGTCATTTAACAAAAGAAGAAGCTAAACAATGGATTTTATGTTTAGCGTACGATGACAGGTATCCAGAACATGTTCTAAAACATCTGAAAGTCAATTATGTGTCTACATCTTACTCCAAGTTACACGTAAGTATTCGATTGATTTATATAAACACCACCGAGTTATGTTTGGGACATCAAGCGTTGCTGAGCATAATGATTCATCTGTAAAAGAAAATCGTGCTGGCTGGGAATTCGTAATATGCATGCTCAGTGAAAACGTGACGTTGCACATGGTAACTATAGTCAATACAAAATAATGTCAATTTGGTTCAAATTGTACACAGTAATTATGATAAAATAATCATTTGCAAAATTTTGACACAGAATTTTAGCGCGGAAACATCATGGCATTCAAGAAATTAAAAAAGTTTACGCCGAATTACATATTATATTATAAGTTCTTGTCATTTTAAAATGTAAACATTTTTTAAAGGTTTTCTTGGTGAAACGAACTGAAAGGTTCACATTGTTTTAAATTAAAAGAAAAACACAAAAAAACATTTTATTTTAGTGAGTTTCTAGTTTCATTGATAATATTTGTCAAGTATATTGTAAAGGAAGTTTTTTTATTGACATTTGCCGCAAAACTGTTAGGTATGTGGCTGTGTTTTTTATTCCACCTGTTACCTGTGTAGAAATCACTAAGAAACTTAAATTAAATAGAATAAATCATTAAAATTAAAATTGAATTGTAGCCATTTACCACGAGTCTAAACTCTTTTAAACGTGGTCTCAAATTTGTTTTTTTAATATAAATACGTATTTATTATTAGCCCTTGTTGGTTATATAAAAAGAAGAAATATGCAATAGGATTTATTTTCTATAGTACATTGCACAATAGTGCATAATCTGAATTCGACGCGAACCCTTCTAAAGTAATTAGAGACGAACTCAAATTAGTATGCGCTACTGAACATGTTAATGCGCATATGTGCAATGCATTAAACCTTCTCATTATATATAAATAAAAAATAAAGGAAAATTATCACACTAGAAACTCACCTGATTAAATGTCACTTTTAAAATCAATAATAATATATTACATTTCAGTCCGTACCGCAGAGAATAATTTTACCATAGAAACCTAGGCAGCATTGATCATTATCCAGGATATTTCGGATTGTTGTTTCTCGAAAAAAAAAATCAGGTGACCGTAAATTGTTTTACTGTCGGCATCCTATTGCTATTAATAAAAATATAACAAAGGTGGAATACAGTCAATCGAAGCGAATGTCCTAATGCGGAACTATAATCGCCCCACGCAGTTTGCATGCACTATGTCTACCTGTAAGCAGCGTGAACTAAAGGGATCAACGTACTATTGCGAAGTAGTGAAAACAACGGTTTCTGCATAGTTCACGTCCTAACATTTACAATACAACCCAATACTTTCAGTCACAATGGAATTATCATGTACCCATTTATTATGGTTCACGGGAAACATGAATTACCTTGCCAGAGCTTAAAAGGGCGTTGCAAACTAAACTAAATTTAAGTGTGTTTCAAGCTTTAATTCGTGAAACCAAGCAGGATATTTGATATAAAGGAAACACCTGTCTTGTACAATACTGATATCCATGTGTTTGTTAACGCTAGACGATATTACTTCCTTTCATTCTTAGGATCGAACAGGAACCATAGTATATTGTTCAGTTTATGCCCCAGGAATAATAGTATCTTCCACTATAATTGCGATCATCCGTTATAAATATTACCTCCCCAATAAAAAAGTGATTACGTTCCATTGAATATTAAATTCTATCTAATTTGACAGAAATATTGTTCTTCTGATTTTTCGAATGGATAATGAATCTCACGCCGTCGGCAATGACGTCATTCGTCCGTTTCGGGTCGGTTCTGATGTCTTCATATACTGTTGCATTGAGCCGTCATTATCCGTCATCTCAGCAGAAATAATAGCAAGCACGGGACATGTGACAATGCGAGAGTACTATTTAAGGTAGGGATGCAGGTTCGTGGGCACTTGGGAGTGAATTTTTTTTTTTTTTTTGCTTTTTATTATCCAAAAAGTCTTGACTATGGACTGTTGAAATTTTGTACAATTGTGAATAGTGCAACATACTCAAAAACGATTTTAAAATATAGATAACAGGTGCAAACATTATCTCTTTTGAATGCTTAGCAAGATTTAGCAAGGCTGTACATAAATAATAAAAAAAAACATGGTAAAAAATAGAAATGACGGGATCTCCATATTATGCACTATATTTAACTTTGTACAAAACGATAATACATTTAAATTTGAAACTGTAACAGCCATTTTAATTATGAGCATTAGCAAACTTCTGACTGAGTGAATTGTTATGCAAATTAGCAATTATCTCAGCTTCTTTTTAGTGCACATTGCAGAACTTTAAAAAAATAGCTCCTATACGCTTTGACCTTTTGTTTTGAAATTTTCACAAATGATTAACAGTGTGTTTATCTTCAAAACGCCGTCGGGGCATTGTTTTTAGTTGAATAGTGTTACAGCAATCGTACAGACAACTAGCCTGGGTGTTAATTTATGCATAAACTTGAAGTAGTGAAATTTGAGCTGCTGCCCTACAAAATTGACAACTGGTAGACAGTTTTCAAGACGGCACTTTCTTCATAGTAAACATATGTACCCATAAACCAATTTTCACAGGAAACAGAAGCATGGTTTAGAAGCTAATTTTTTTAAATCACTTTTGACCAAAAAAGCACATTTTTTTGGCACATTTCAAACTACCGTGTCCATAACAATAAAATACTAACAAAACCTTAAAATTCATACAATAAGCTTTCCGAAAATATATAGTTTTGTGGACAAGAGAGGTCATCTTGGTTTCCTAATTAAATAATTAAAATACTTGTCAGGTAAACTGCATCTCTACCTTAATAGTATATAGTCATTACATCCGTATTTCTGTATTTGTTACAAAGCCAGGCATATTTAATGATTTCTAGGTAACAGAGTACGACTCTTATCTGCGATTTTCTAGGTTCAACAAATTACACTGTATCATTCTGCCCAATGTACCGAGCTCACTGTATTCCCATGGGAGTCTGATGCCTTAGCCGATGAAAAGATCTTGCCTGTCAGTTCTTGTATTCTGTTCATCTGATGTTGCTGATTGTAATTCTAGTACACATTATAGTGTGTTCTTCCGCTCTTGGCACCATACCTAGTCTTGTATTGGGAAACTTACGCCTTATCCGATCGGAACTATATGAGTTGTCAGTTCCCTGTTGATCTGATAAATACAGCATAAAATGATATGAATAGGCAGTCCTCAATAGAATATGAACGCCCGGGGTTATATGCATCACTAAAGTTTTTGTTGTGTACACGCGCTTAAACTATAATACTCCTCTACGCCACTTTCTGTAATATTAACTGTATTATGCCTCATTCCTACTGAGATTAGGGGGTGAATATATCTCGTTGGTAAATTTCAAATTGACGCATTGCATATAATATAATATTTTTTAATATTTATATTCATATATATATATATATATATATAGGTAATATAGGTCGGGAAAGTATTTTTTTTTAGAAATTGTTGTTCAGTGCTGTATATTTCAAAATGGATTAAGATTCATCTTAAAATATTGTCGTTTTGCTCACGCACATAACAGTATAAGTGTTTTGGGGGAAACGAACATGTAATGTATGATACACATTATCATCACGCTTTTCATAGTTTTGTATTCATCAAACTAATATATAAAAACAGCGTGATGTGCATCATGATTGCGTGCGTGTATATCTACATACAATAGGGAAACATTTTTGAATTAAAGGTTATTTTCAGCTGGAGGTTGTGAACGTGAATGCGACATAATTCATGTAATTTGTTCCCGCTTTTAGCGTCCATATAGAACTATTGTCGTTTGAAAAAAGTTGGTTAATATCATATTGTCAATAGGTCCTTTATCTGTGTGTAGTTTGTTACGAACAGAATCACCAATACTTCAGTATTTGGTAATCATGACATATCATTTTTTTCAGTACAAGCTATATTTATTTTGTGAAGTACGGATTGTCAGATGGAGGCGCTCTCCGCACCGAGGTAATAAGCTTTGTGTGCAGTCGGACACACCATATACCTTTGGTCCATGGATACACCAAGTTAATCACACCACTTTGGATATGTGAGCCATTGTTCAGGCAACTAGAAGTGTGAGGTTATTTAGTTACTATTTCACACTATCACAAGTTTGTTGTGGTATAACGTGGCAGCGATACATAATATATGTAACATAACAATCTTAAATATTGGTTTAATTTATATGACGCTGTCGTACTAAATTTTCTCAGGTGGACCCGTGGACGATGGTAGCAATGGTCAAGTACCGTTACCATGGGAAATCCCCGTGCGTCCTGTTAAGGAATTCACAGAGCACACCAAGACCGTCTACGTGCCCCATTCTGCGTTAGTACGTGCGTGTGAATATTGTGTCGGTAAAGGCAACGAGAATCTAGGTTATGAAACTATCCGTACGGTATGTATTCCTTGTTTTAAAAAAAAATCCTAAAAAATCTATAAATCTGTCAAAATCATTAGAAGTATTCCTTATATTCAAAGTCGTACTAGTCCGTAAAATGGGACTGAAACTATTGTATTCAAATAATTGAAAACAAAATGGCCGACATTAGTGTCCAATCAGAACGTTGCTCACCAAATAGTTAGTCTCTACTATATTCATATTTGGTTGAGTGAAAAAAAAAACGTTCTCTGTATCCCGAATTATTGTTATGAATATCTTTATTGTATGAATAAATATTCACGAAAGTGTACATTTCCAGTGTGTATCGAGCTTGGTGTTTTCTCCTAACTACCCAACACGCGCTATAACAAGCGTTCATCATTGTTATTTCCTTGGATACAGGTAATATGTGACCCATGTGACGGTCGTGGATGGACAAGTAATGGAGGTTGCTCTGCATGCAATTCTACTGGCAGAAAAAAGTATGAAACTGAGACATTTATTAATAAACTTCTGCATTTTCTGACTTCACGTTAGCAAAAACATATTATAAATACAAATAAAATAAAATGGTATGATAAACAACCTTTCGTAAAATAGAAATTGCATAGAAATACGTCATGTCACGTTGTCACAATGTGTTATGAATACGCAATTGTTTTATTTTCTAAATCTCAGGTCATTGAAAACTTCAAAGACTTGCTGGCACTGTGATGGGTCTAGAAAGATAAAATGGCACATAGAAATGACGGTGTACTTGTACGTACTATTGAATACATAATTTTCTGAAAAGTTTATTTAATACAGAGACTTTTACCACGTAACCATGAAATTCAACACCGATTTTTTTCTTCACAGTTACACGCGCATTGCGGATTATATTGCTAATAATCTGGATATACCAAAAGAAATGTTTCTACAATCAACACACACTACGGTAATATATGAATGTTTGATTCAGTACTTACCCAATAATTATTAGTCTTAATTATGACTGATTGTATTTACTCCATTTTTATGTATGTACGTTGTCAAAAAATTGGCTAGTTGGTTAAACCATTTTAATCATCGCTTGTTCGAATGTTTTTGTATACGTCGCATGTAACCCGTTGAGAGCACACACTGCGCGACTGGACGCTTCACAACGATGTTTCACTTGTTTTGTTAGGCCAGTCCTGTTCTTTCGATAGACGAAGATAACATTAAAACAACTGCGAAGAGATTTGCTGACAGGCACTTGATTGATTATCACAATGAACGAGTCTTGCAACAGGTATATAGTCAGTGTGCACTCGAAAATAATGTTTACCAAACTTGAGGCTAAGGATGCGTATGAAAATGCACACAATTTAACAACATCTACTATAATTATGATCACGCTTTATTGAAATTGGTTGTGGGAGTTTATAAATTGAAGCACACATGGTCTTTAAAATATTGGTATGATCATTGCTATCCACATTAAACGATCATGTGTTTTATTTATTTGTTAATTATGATGTTTAAAAAGATTCACCCGCTCTTCATTTTATCTTGTAGAGGGTACGAGTGGCTCCCGTATTTGACGTTGAATGGACTTACAGGAACAAAAAGGGAAATGTATGGTTGTATGGAGATTTTCTGAAAGCCGAATCAACTGACCTATCTAGTATAAAGTAAACAAATCAACCCGCCTCGACGCCACAGATTCAAATTTAGAACCTATTTTCACATGGATTTTGCGAGTTTAATATTGACATTAATGTGTTACATCACGTACGACTACGTACGACTTTAACATTTACTTGAATGGAGAGAATATACATGTTGACAGTGAGGAAATTAATCTTCTTGAAAAAACAGTACATATAAACCGTGCTCTCTAGTGACGTAGCGAGTATGTGACGACACGGTAAATACACCGCGCACAGTATCCATATTGTTTTTTTCTGTGGTCATGTCTCCTCTTTATAAGAGTTGCAATATTCTAAATGATGAATTATTACACAATCAAATAGTTAGTTTTCTGTTCAAAACGATACTGCTATCATCCTAGCCCCGAATCCACGGCGTTGTCGATCCGTTAATTTGAATCGCAAACTGAGTGGATGTACACGTTTTTGACGAAGCAAATAAACCAAGCCTAAACTCTTCAAGTTGAAGTCTGAAAATTCGATTTTATTGTAAAAAACAACAATTAGACTTCTACGCTGCGCAATTTGGTAAAATTCCCTTTTATACACATTTAATTGTGTGAGTTATTCTTGTGTGTCAAAGATATTTTGTCATTAGCAGGATACAGGTGGTGGTTTATGATAAAGCAGCTGACGACTGAATGAAAATACCAGGTTTTTTTATTCAGCTAGAGGGCGCTATTTATCAACATATGCTTTTAAACACACTGCATGGATGTATCGTGACTCAAGATTACGTTTTGACATGCTTTCTTTAATGATCCTTTACTCGATAAAACAGAACACACCTTGGGGATGTTTTGTGAGAATGTTTTCGTGTTTGTAATAAGTGATAAAAGCAGTTTTTGGCATGTAAGGCAATATCACTGAAAATAACACAGTGGTTTTAATAATCTAGAGTGGTTTTAAGAATGGTTTTGCTTGTAGTAATATTACATGTCAATACATTAATTTATGCGACCTGTCAAACTAGTGTATTATTCTTAGCTAACTTGCCTAACACGTACTTCCGCTATTTCAAGATATATCACGTGCAGTCAATGAAATATGTACCTCATTTAAAAGGCATCATGTTGGAGAACAAGAACAAGGTTGGAGTGTGAACAATAATGGACGTGGTGCACAACTGCAAGAGCGGACATGAAATAGATATTTATTACTACTGGTAAAACGCATATTGCTTCATTGTGTATACTCTAAAACATGCAATAAGATAGCTTATCGCCTTGGTATAATGACAGGTAACGATACTCTTTGTGGTCACAGTAACATAGATTTAGCTCAGATGACGTGTATTGCAAGACAGAACCAGCGACCAACATAAACGAAACTTGTTTCATTAGTGATATTGCACTGTTGAAGTTAACTTCCATTTTGTTTTCTGCATCAACATATCACAGTTTTTATAATGATTATATTACTTATGTCAGTTATTTAGGCATATAGTTATGATAATAATGTTGTACGATTTAAAATATGGCAAGTATTGCAATACACTACATCGTATTATAGTAATTTGCTTACACTGTAGTATAAATGACTTTTAGATAATCTAACTTTGAAAACCGGATGGAACAGTATTTTAGACAATCAGCTACCACAATAGTACATGTATTCCGGAGTTTAAAAATGTTTAATTCTAGATTAGTAGACTTGCAATCTAACTAGAACTTTACCTCTGCCAACATAACGTAGATTCGTAACTATCGTAGTATTTTGAATCTGACTATGCCGTATTCTAGGCTTATCATCTACATAGTAGTTGCAAAATTATTTAATATAACCTGACGTTTCGAACAGAGTATTCTTCCGCAGTGATAAATATCGATCGCCTGTGTTCTCTGTTTTCCTGCGAAGCTATGTAGTCATGTTATACAGGCCACTCAGCTCCGGAACGTACGACATAATCCCAGAAGCAAATTCCCTGCAGAATTCTGTAGGTACACTCCGAGTAGGACAAACTCCAGACAGCACAACGTATGGAGACAATGTTATTTAATATGAGTGAACCATAAGCCGTAATTTTTATAGTTGAACATCCTTTTTTTTAACTATATAATATATTTATTAAGTCCCGCGATTTAGAAAGTCCCTATAAAAATATTATTTTTGTTAAATAAAGACTGAAATATGTAAAATTTTAGAGTTACATCAAGTGAACGTTCTTCATCTTTCCTTTTGTATTGCATTTTGCTTTACGAGGGGCTGAGACTAGCGATGACACGATGCCATCTCTGTGTGGTTTTGCTTGGTTGAAGGGTTTGTGAACGAGGAGATTCAGAGTACCGGAGTAACGTTTAAGAACACGTGAATTAAATCGTTATACTGTACCCAAACAAACTTATCCAAGGACTCTTTCAAAAATGTTAAATTAATAGACAAAAGTACACAATGAAAAGATGAGGACTAAAGAGGGCGCAAAACACTTCAATATGTAAGCCCATGATGACAGGAAACTATTTTAACGCAGCATGAATTGTTATCTGTTACAGGCTTGTGATCTGTGAGGGCGCAATAACAAATATATATATGTGTGTTTAGACACTGCAAAATATGTGAGTAATAAATTTTAATATGCGGCTAGATTGTCTTTATATAACGTATACTCACATTCGCTAGACAAACATTAAACCACGATCCAATTAATACGTATTAATTCCATACAACATTCACGACACCTTAACACACATATGCACACAACGATAAATATATAGTTGTTGCATAAACTAGTAAATTATATTATATTATATATATTTCTACAGTCACTGGACCAAGGAAGCAAGTTTATATAGAAAGTGAATGATATCTATCTTGTCAAACCAATAGTGCTGTAGTTCACAGTGCTTAACGCATGGGACCGGGAACAGCCACTGGTGGCGCTGTATACAATCTAAATCTATTTAGTCTTTGCCCAACGCTCACATCGGAGAACACTTGCACAGACATTTAAATTGAATTTGGTGACCAGTAAAATGTAAGAAAAAGCGTGTACAGTCTTTAAGTAACCACAATATACGAATATACGGCGTTTCATAATAAATTCTTTCTATTAATAATTGCACCTTAAAATAATATTCATGAAATATGTCTACATCGCGACCTTGTTAAAGTTATTAGCATATTGTATACGCAGTACGCATGCTTCTGGCATTTTTTCCGTCTTCTCCAACGCATGTGTCATCACAGTGAGGTCAATTGTATTTTACGTTTTTTGCAATAGAAGCATTTGTCATTTTTCAGTTACAAAAATGTATGTCAGCGGTTCCTAAACTTCCTTAGCTTTCATTTCTTACCATTCA